ATTGACAACTTCCAAGAAAAGTGTCACAACACAAGCCATGATCAAATGAATATGATGTCCAAGCTCTTATGATATCAAGTTTTTTGACTTAGATTTTTATGTTAGTGTATGGTGTTTTCTTTCATGAGCTTAACATTGCAAAATCTTTCAAAATTGTATGACTCTTATACAAATCATCCTGACATACTTTTCTAACAAAGGAAAATAACTAACATATTGTAAATTTGATAATCCTTTTACAAGAGCCAAAAACGTGTATGAAACTATTTTTTGAATCAAATTGGTATCCATTTGTGAAATTCATACATAAAAGTAAAAAATGATTGGAAAATCATTTCATCATATTTTAAACATGTTTTAACTTTATAAAATATTGGCAGCCATCAATGCTCACCCCTGCCTGCCATTCTTACTTTTGAGTTCTCATAGCAACTCGGTCTTCTCATGAAAACTATTGTGAGAAAAAAAAAATTTAAAAAATTGAGCCACCCTTATCTTCACACAACAGTGCCTTTAAAATGTTATTATTGTTTCCATATGTAAGTAAGTGACTGCCCTATCTTGTATAATAGAAGTGTACTGAAATCATGGTTCTACTAATTGGAATATTGCATTAAACATTAATGTTTGTGGATCGTCTTATTGAGTGGCCTCAAATCACATTTTCTAAATTTCACATTTGCATAAACCCGAGATATTATGTTAAAAAACTTTACATGTTTTTTTTAGTAATTTTGTATATAATTTTTTTTTATTTTGACATACAAACAATTTTTTTATATAAAAGTAATTTTTATATCATACGTCTAAATGCAAAATAATTTTACCTTTTAAATAAAGTTCTTTTTAAAAAAATAATGCTAATTTTTTTTCCGAAAGTCCATTCAAATGGGCCTTGACTCCACAATATGTGTTAAGACACCAAAATTACCTATATTACATGCGTTTTCATCACCTTTAACTAGAACTCCACTGTTTTATGATTTTAACTGCAATCACGGTCCTTTACATTAAACTTCCAACCGTTCGTAAGATAATTTGTATATCGAAAAACACTTGCATTAGCTGGCCCACAAGCCAAGTTAAATAATGATTTATTTATACTTTTATCTCTGGCCTTTTTCAAAAGAGTAACTGTTATTAAAAAAAAAATATTATATAAGATAAAGGTTATACTTACGATCTATTTTCGTTTACAACTTCTTACAACCGTATCTTTAATCGTTGATTTCCGTCAATCAACAGTTATTATTTTCGCAAATTAAACTCATTAATTAATTATTTAAAAATAAACAAATCTAGAATCATACATACATGTTTAATTTTTAAACCACTGATAAAATTCTTTAATATGTCTTTGTTCCACATGTTGTTGGTATTCCTTCTTTAGTTCTTCCTTGTGCAACCTCGTCATTGAACATAAAAAAAAAAAAAAATAACAACCAATCATACTTTTTAAAAAGTATAAACCAGTAATTTAAATAATCACTAACTCGATAAATGGTGAGACTTCATTGCAATTTTTAAGAATATACATTCTTACTCAATGAACAAAGAGTTACTCATTAGAACATACGAAATCACAAAACAAACAATTAAAAACAAAAAAATAACACCCATTAAATGTAAAATTATAAACCTTAAATGACAAAAATCATAATGATCCAAAAAAACTTTAAAAGGCTTCAATGTATAAATTATAGTAAAATTTTACTTACTTGGTTAATACAATTGTTCGGTTAAGGAAGAGAAAAAGAAATCTGAGAAAAGTGTAGAAGAGTAGACGCAACTTTGAATTAATAATCATAAACATTTTAAAATTTGAAATTTTGTTTATATAATATTCAATTGATAAATCATGGGATAATATTCAAATATCATAACAAATTGTGTTTTAACATTCAAATTTTGTTTATAATAACAAATTATCTTTTATCCATATACGATCTTATCTATTTTTTTAACAAGTCTTATCTATTTCTTTATTGGATGACACAAACAGAAAAAAGAAATTTACAAAGCCCAGCGGGCTATCATCCTGGGTAACGCAGTAACCCTCAGATCATTTATGACCAGATGAGTGCAACCCTGGGGAGGTACTACAAACAGCTGTGTATTTCTCTCATGCTGCTAAGCATTGGAAGTTAGCCAATCTGCCATAGTATTGCCTTCACGATAGGTGTGGGAGATTTTTGTAGTCCATGGTCTATTCAGCAACCTGCGAATGTGGTGAACCAAGCGAGCTAGAGGGTGGTGTTGCTCACAATCCTCCTTAATGAGTGAAACTGTCGAGAGTGAGTCTCCTTCAATCCAGAAAAATTAAAATTTGTCTACATTCCAGGTTCTTTTTAAGTTCTTTCCATATGGAGTTTCTAACATATAGGCTCCTTTTGAAAGTTTGTCTTTCACCTAGTATGGTCTTTCCCACCTCGGAGTTAACTTTCTCTCTACTGCATTGTGTTCTCCGATGTCTGCTCTTCAAAGGACCAAATCACCTGCTATAAACAACTGAGGTTTCACCTTTTTGTTAAATCGGTTCGCGATTAGCTGCTTTGCCGCAATATTCCTACAATGCGCTGTAACTCGGACATTGTCAATCAAATCCAGTTCAACTGCTATCTTCTTGTTGTTTTCTTCTTCTGCTTGGGATAAAGCCTTAACTCTCATCCAAGATGGTTCACCTAGCTCTACTGGAATCATGGCTTTGCATCTATAAGCTAATCTGAAAGGAGGTTCTCCTGTTGAGGTCCGCGTTGTGGTCTTGTACCCCAAAGCAGATAGTATAATTCTTCAACCCACTTTCCTTTCGCGGCTTGCTCTAACCTTTTTCGTAATCCATCAACAATGACTTTGTTGGCCGCCTCAGCCTGACCATTGGTTTACGGGTGTTCCACCGAGGCAAAACGATGTTGGATATGGAGATTTACCATTAATTCTTAAAAGCACCGATTTGCAAATTGGGTTCCATTGTCAGTGACAATCTCAGCCGGGATACCAATTCTATAAATCAAATTTCTTTCAAAGAAACGTTGTATTCTAGCCGAGGTGATAGTAGCCACTGGTTCCGCTTCTATCCACTTTGTGAAGTAATCGACGACTACAATCAGCCATCACAGCTGACCTTCTGAAGCTGCAAACGAACCTAAAAGATCCATTCCTCATTTGAAGAATGGCCAAGGAGCATTAATAAGATTGAGTTATTCTGGAGGAGCCAAGAGATGCTTTCCATGCCTCTGGCATTGGTCACATTTCTTAACATGCTCGTTGGCATCATTATTCATGGAAAGGCCAAAAGTACCCAACTCTTAGTGCCTTCTGAGCTAGTGCTTTACTTCCAACGTGCTGCTTGTTTATTCCCTCATGGATCTCGGATAGAACATATTGTGCCCTATCCGAGTTCAAACACTTTAACAGAGGTAAGTAAACTCCTTTTTTATAGAGTTGTCCTTCTACCATTGTGTATAAAGCTGCTTCTCAGATTAACTTTCTAGCCTCCTCTTTTCCTGATGATAAAACTCATCTTTCCAAGTATGCCACTATGGGGGATCGTTAGTCTTATATTACTATGATTGCCATAATACACGTTGGCTCTGGGATGTTTTGTTCTATCACAGTCTTGTGATTTCCACTACCTATTGTACTTGCCAGCTTAGACAATATATCAGCTCTGCTATTTTCATTTATGGGTATATGGCTTATATCCACTTTTTCAAACTCTGCCATCAATTGCTTGGTTACTTTCAGGTATTTGGTCATCAGAGGTCCTTTTGCTTGGTAGCTATCTTCAATTTGGGAAGTGACTATTGAGAATGACTGGACACTTTAAGTTTTTGCGCTCCGAGCTTCTTTGCTTGTTGTAACCCGGCTATGAAAGTTTCATATTCTGCCTGATTATTTGATATTTTAAAATTCAACTGAAGTGAGTATTCTACTGATATATCGTAAGGGCTTACAATGATTATCCCGGCTCCACTTCCCTTTGCATTAGAGGAGCCATCAACGTATACTCTCCAAACGTCTTAACTTGGTGAATTTTCATCTTGGATTGAAGTGAGCTCCCTCACAAAGTTGGCCAGAGCCTGATTTGATAGCCTTTCGACTTTCAAAAATGATATCAAACTCTGATAGCTCAATTGCCCAATTCATCTCCGTCCTGCTAGATCTAGTTTATGAAGAACCTGCCGAATTGATAATCCGTCCTGACCACCACTTTATGCCCCTGGAGAATATTATAATTTTATGCTCATTATAATCCAAACAATATATAAAAGAAGAAGGTCGATGAAGAATGTATGTTGTAAGCTTATTAGTTTAATTTCAAATTGAAGACGTGAGCATATACATGTTTCTTGTCAACACTATAAAACTCTCGTAAAAAATAAATAATGAAGCACATTAATAATCATGAAAGAGGAATACCAAAAATCTAAGAAAATATATGAGATTCAAAAAAGAGCATATATTGGCTATGAGAAAAGACTAGAGTAGATTATGAGACATTATAATAGAGAAATCTTAGGAGTTAGGGTGAGATTGTGAGAGGGACATTCTATTTATATTTCTCACTAAAAAGTCTCACGAAATTCACACCAATTGAAAATCCATTAAAGTTGTCAGATTTTTGAATACCACAATATTGCTATTCTTTTGTTTAAAATAGTGATCAATATCGGTTTGGACAGAATCTAAAGTAATCTTTTAAAATTTTAATTGAATACTTTTTTTCAATCTTCTAAATTCTAATTGAATACCAATAATTTTTTTTTCAAAAATAATACATTAAAATAATAAAATCCTTTGAAATCCAATCTAATACTCTCTTTAATTTTTGCAAAAAAATAAAAGAAATTAAAAAAATTATTTTATAAAACTAATTATTATTATTTTTTTTTAAAAGCTGGCCCCCAAAAAAGTCTCGAACACTGCTGCTAGGAGTCCGTTGGATTGTGTTTCTGCCTTCTACTTACTAGTTTTTTGGTCAGTAATTGCAATCCAGGAACAAAGAAGCCACTGTTGTCACCGATAAGCATGTCAGCGTCAAGGTTTTAGCAGCGCCCGCGGCGGAACCCAACGGCGATTAATTTAATTAATTTTTTATTTTTTATTTTTTGGGTATTGTTTGAGGGTTCACTTCAGCCATAGAGGGAACTGGAGAGAAAGAGAAATGCATGGGCTCTTGGTGTTTGGGAATATGGGTTTTATTGTCAACAGCTTCCGGCGACGTGTTTGGTTGCACCGTGGATATGCTTCTTCTCATGGCCTCGCCCTCGACCCTTCATTTTCTATCCATCCAAACACTCCCCTATTTTCAAGGGATCTCGAGTCACCTGTTTATCCAGGTAGTTAAAAATAATCTGTTTTCTTGTTTTGTATGGAAATTTTTATTTTCTCTTCTCTATGACACTTGTTATAGAAATGTTGAAGGATCAATTTACAAATTCTTTTTTACAAACTTACAAACTACACTATCCGATAATACTTTACTCAAGAGTGTATTACGGATGAGACATAACGTAGTTTATAAGAGTTTGTAAACAGAAAAATTATAAATATAACCTTCCTCTTCCTCTGTAGATATATGTTAAAAATTTTAGCTATGGTTTCATAACCAACTTACACTTATACATGACGTGTTATTTAGTATAATCATGTGTGTGAGATAATTTTAACCATTCATGGATAAATTATCTTGCATGATATGTTCATGCTAAATTACACATGAGAGGATCTATTCTCATCTTTTAGTGTGTTTTAAGATTGGAGCATAGTGTTAAATGTTAATTTTCCCCCTACTTGTTTTTAGATTTTAGAAGATTTTGATAAAGTTGTTGTCATCTCATGTTGAGTATTATTAATTTTCATTTAATGGAATTTGAACTCTAATTAGGTATAGTACAATATGGTTTTGAATGGGAGTTTCTTCTTTAGATGCCAAATAACTCTTCTCCAGATGCTTCATTTATCCGATTGTGGATGAATTAATAATAGTTCAAAAGTATTCATGTAAGCTTTGCATGGTTTTTTTAAGGTATTCATGTTTCTCTAGCAGGATACAACCTTATTTAAGTTAGTATATTTACAGGAACTGCAACTAAATGCAGAGAACTGATCCTGCAACCAAAACCAGAACTGCTTAGTCCAAATGCCTATTATGTTCATAATATGCTTGAACTTAACTCTGAACTGAAGCAACTAGTGAAACAGGGCCAACTTTGTGATGCTAGGGATATGTTTGATAAAATGGCTCACAGAGATGAGGTTTCATGGACCACATTAATAGCGGGTTATGTCAAGGCCTCGGACTTGAATGAAGCATTGATCTTGTTCTCAGATTTTTGGGTCCAGCCAGGACTTCAGAAGGATCAATTCATTATTAGTGTTGCACTCAAGGCTTGTGCACTTGGCATGAATATATCTTTTGGAGAATTATTGCATGGATTTTCAGTGAAATCTAGTTTGATAAACTCAGTATATGTCAGCAGTGCCTTAGTAGACATGTACATGAAAGTAGGCAAAATAGAACAAGGTTGCAGAGTCTTTGAAAACATGACAACAAGAAATGTGGTATCTTGGACTTCCATTATTGCGGGGCTTGTCCATGCTGGTTTCAGTATGGAGGGATTATTGTACTTTTCTGAAATGTGGAGATCAAAAGTGGGCTATGATTCACATACATTTGCTATTGCTTTAAAAGCATCTGCTGATTCATATTCATTACATTATGGGAAAGCTATACACACTCAAACAATAAAACAAGGGTTCAATGAGAGCTCATTTGTCATTAATACTCTTGCTAGCATGTATAATAAATGTGGGAAACCCAACTACGGCATGCGATTGTTTGAAGAAATGAGGATGCCAGATGTAGTTTCATGGACAACCCTTATTACGACTTATGTACAGATGGGTGAAGAAGAACATGCTGTGGAAGCATTTAAAAGAATGAGAAAATCAGATGTCAGTCCCAATAAATATACTTTTGCAGCCATAATTTCTGCCTGTGCAAATCTTGCTATTACTGAATGGGGGAAACAGATGCACGGCCATGTATTGTGTCTAGGTCTGGTAGATTCCTTGTCAGTGGCAAATTCCATTATTACATTTTATTCAAAATGTGGTCTTTTAACTTCAGCTTCAGTAGTATTTCATGGTATGACTAGAAAAGATATTATTTCTTGGAGCACTATAATTGCTGTTTACACTCAAGGAGGTTATGCAAAAGAAGCTTTCAACTATCTATCATTGATGAGAAGGGAAGGGCCGAAACCAAATGAATTTGCAATTGCTAGCATGCTGAGTGTTTGCGGAAGCATGGCACTTCTTGAGCAAGGGAAGCAGGTGCATGCTCATGTCCTCTGCATTGGCTTGGATCATGAAGCAATGGTTCATAGTGCTCTAATTTGTATGTATTCAAAATGTGGGAGTCTACAAGAAGCTTCAAAAATCTTTGATGCGATAAAAAATAATGACATTATATCATGGACAACCATGATTAATGGGTATGCCGAACATGGTTATAGCCAAGAGGCCATTAGTTTGTTTGAGAAGATTTCCAGTATTGGCTTAATGCCAGACTATGTAACTTTCATTGGGGTTCTGATAGCTTGTAGCCACGCTGGATTGATTGATCTTGGTTTCTACTACTTTATGTTAATGACTAATGAGTATCGGATCAGTCCTTCAAAAGAGCACTATGGTTGTATGATTGATCTTCTATGCAGAGCAGGGCGATTGAGTGAAGCTGAGCATATGATACGAAACATGCCATTCCAGAGTGATGATGTTGTGTGGTCTACCTTACTCAGAGCATGTAGGGTTCATGGGGATGTTGACCGTGGAAGATGGGCAGCAGAACAGATACTTCGCATGGATCCAAATTCTGCTGGAACTCACATCACCCTGGCTAACATATATGCTGCCAAGGGGAGATGGAAGGAAGCTGCACATATAAGGAAGCTATTGAAATCAAAGGGAGTAATAAAGGAGCCAGGATGGTCTTGGATTAATGTCAGTGCTCAATTAAATGCATTTGTTGCTGGGGATCAGTCTCATCCTCAAAGTGAACATATAACATCCATTCTGGAATTACTAAGTGCAAGTATAGGAGATGCTAGGCTGGAAATAACAGAAGATGTTAACGATTAGCAGAAGGCTTATCTCTACCTCATTATGTCAGTGGTTTGATCATTCTACAAGGACGAGCCTTGGAGCAGTGGTATAGTTGACTCCTTTGTTACCAAAAAGTCACTGATTTGAGTCTAGGAAATATCTATTTGCAAAAATGCAAGGGTAATATGCATGAATCTGTCAACTACTGATTGTTTTAGCTGACTATACAGAATTGTCATGCAAATGCAATTACTTTTTTTGTAGTGTCGTTATCTGTATAGCTTCTCCAACTCTGGAAGGATTTTCTTGTATGGAGCTGTTCAGTATGAATTGTACAGATGGGTATAATGTGGAGATGGCTGATCAATGGGCTAAAGACACTGCTTTGTGAGATCACTCTTGGTCTCTGAATATAGCCACAACCCATATTGAGCTATGCTGGAATGTTCTTGCTATGTCAATGTAACTCTACAAAGAGGGAGTAGATGTCACAACCAAAAGACAGGTAATGGGATACTATACTTACAGATTACTAATGCCTGCCTAAATATTAGTGGATGTGGAATATCTTTAGATATCTTTGTATTTTAGGAATCATACCGGACCTTTTTATTCTCAAGGATCAATTAGGATCTCTTTTGATTATTTCATTAATTAGGGTAAATGTATGTAATTAATTAGTTTCCAGATTTTCTTTTCTGAGTTTTGTGTATATATTGTAACCTCCCCTATTGGGAACATTCAATCGAATATAATCTTTTTTCACATGGTATGAGAGTTTATGACCAAATAGTCTTGAGTTTGATCCTTGCTGCCTATATTCTTCTAATAGATATTATGGAATTTCTTAGCACACTCGTGCATTGTCCATCTTTTAAGCTCAAAGAACTCTTGCGTGAGAGGGCGTATTAAAAACATAAATATAAAAGCCATTCATGTGCCCTTCATCCAAGTCTGCAATATGCTCAAGAATTTTAATGACAAGAAAGTTGAACATTTTATGACTCGGTCATGCAACTTAGGCAATTCTTCACTTTTCATTTTTCATACATGAGTGAAATCATACAAAATGATGTAGTTATTTTTATGACAGAAAAGTACAACTTCATGTTTTACCAAACAGAAAGAGAACATTGTTCTTTAACATATATGCAAGTTTTACATATCAAAATTGGTAACTATAATTGCTCTGAAAAGAACTTGATTCGGTTTCATCTTCATGTCTTTCAACAATCCATTTCTTTGACTCATTCTTGTGATTAACGTCTTTGCTAAAATGTTTTAATTCCATTGTGATCCTCACTTATTCTGCAACCTGGACACCAGCTTTTGTTAAACGACTTACTCTTTGGCTGTTTATTACTTATTTTTCTTGCTTTTTCATTAGTAAATATACTTGCAAAGATCAAGGGTGCTGTAATCTATCTTTTCTTGGAAGTTTGAAAACATAAATGCTATGGAGATATTGCCCATATTGAAGATAAACTCTCTTCTTTAGTTAGTGCATGTTTAATATGCAAAATTTTTGTTGTCTTGTTTCAAATGTTTTATTACTAATGGGGAGTTATTAATGAGATGGGGCTGGAGAGAAGATGTTCTTGTCTGATTATTTATAGGATAGGTTTTCTGAATGTGCTGTTTGGTAACTGACTGTCGACAAAAATCTCCTTATTCATTTATAGAAAAAAAAAAAATTGACACCAATGAAATAATCCTAAGCACAGGCACAAATATTTATTTCTGAGAGTATGTGAAATGGTTATAAAGTTATAAGCATTCGGGTTCATAATTGGAGCAATTATGTGTTGGTTACACACATAGTACAAATCAAGAATAATTACAAATGCATAGTCCTAATATCAGCTCTACGAGTCAGTTATCATTAAGTGATGACTACGGCTATATATTTAACATGGGCGTAAAAGCTTCTCTTCAAATTAAAGCATAATGTTATATGGTATGCCCTTTGTTTGGCTTCCATTAATTTCCTTAATTGATTTTGTCTTAATGGGTGAAAGCAATTCTAACAGCATCCAACATCTTGCTTGGCTTTTGTGCATCAAAAATTACATCACCAGGTCTTGTACAGTGAGTCTGAAGCACCATGAACAGAGAACAAAACAATGACAACATATTTTATCTTGTCTTTTTTGCCCTTTTTTATTGAAAAAATTTCACCAAAGAAAAGTTGACGTCACAATCATCCAATACAACTGTTAGAAGCTTGGACGAGAATCAATAAAACAATTTGTATTGTGACAAAAAAGACTCGCCAAGCTGGAAATGATATACAAGAAGAAAAGAAAATATTAAATTTCATGCATATGCAAATAATTATCAATCCACTACTCAAATCGTAGGAAAGAACTTCTGATGACATTACGAATAAACGGGACATGACATGGTCATGAACCCAACGAGTGCATTTAAGAGTTATTGGGTTTCTAGATCGGAAGCTATTTTGAACTACAGTGTATTGGGCAATGGTGGTTGGACAAGACCCAAGCTCTTAGATATGTTTTCTGATCTAGACCTATTTCATACGGGATATAAAGACCAATCCATAAATGCCCCAAGAGGTTCAACAAACCAGACTTAAAGTCTAAGGAAATATATCCATCCCATGTCGATGTCATTCCGCAGATGTACAATTATGACATCAGCAGCTCAGAACTCTACAACTACCCTAATAGCCAGCAACTAGGCATCTTGCACACGGCATCCCAACTAGCCAAAATGGCCACGCCTGCAACTTGTGCAAAGAGGATAGGAAGAAGCCCCAGTCCTCTAAGTGTCTTTGTAGCCATTTCCCTTGAACTGGTTGCTTGGGGTCTGAGTTTGAAGGGCCTTGCCTTTACTATAATAACCCTAATTTGTAAAATGTATTATTGCATTGGATTGATTATTTAATTATGCATAATGAAGATTAATTAACTGATAGGCTTAATAAAGTTAAATAAATGCAGAATTGTGTATATGAGGAAAACACACTTTTAAAATGGTTAAGTGAGAGTAAGTGAGGAATTGAGCTTTTATGTTAAAAAGACCCCCTATCAGCCACTCCTCGTTAGGGAGCCTGTAGAAGCGAGCTGTTCAGCGAGCGTTGTAATAGCTCGCTGGTGGAGCTTGCTGAAGCGAGTAGCCCAACGAGCAAACACATGTTTTGTTAAAATTAGATAAAAACATACACTTCATTTGGACCAACTTTCCCAAAGAATAGAGGATGCCATTTTAGGGAGAGAGTGAGAGTTTGAAAAACCTAAAGTGAGCTTGGGTGGATGAAACTAGTTGGATCCAACTTCAAACTTGTTTCGAATCACTTAGAAAACCTAACCCACACAAGAAATTCCTTTGAAAACTATTGAGTGGTGAGATTTCCTCATTTAAAAGTGGCGACCCACTCTTGAATCTGAGGCTTGGGGAGTTGTTTGATCACATTGGGAACTTGGACAACCCTCCTTGGTGGATTCTAGGAGCTCCCATGGTCCATTTTGAGCTCAAACCTATGGTCTTTAGGCAAACTATAATGAGTAAAGAGAAAAGGTTGTCAAACAAATTTACATATCTAGTGTCTAGAACAAATCGTGAATGCTTCTCTTGAACTGATAAATTTGTAGTCTTGGAGTATTACGCCCACTTGAATTCCAACATGGACACCCCTATATGCATTTAGTCGTATTTTCATGGGAACTTCTTTATATCTGATGTCACATGAATGTATGTCTATTATCAATGTATGCATCTTGCAAACATGAAATGAAATTTTTATATATTATCATAGTGACTGTCTATGTTTTATTTTTTATATACATTAATCTAATGGCACGGATTCAATTTCTTTGAACAAGTAAACATACTAATCAAATAAGTGTAATAAGTTTTAAGAATGAATTCTCCTCTTAGCTGTTGTTTCAGCAATCAAATTGATTAAATAATTGGACAAAAGGTACTTAAAATTTGCAGAGTCACTGCGGAGTAAACAACATTAGTTGGCGTGGTTTCCACGTCACTAACTTTGAACATATCATCATCACTATCTTATGGATTTGTAATCAGTTCACTAATTGGTTCAGCATGCATAATGTGCATGAAACATTCTGATTATTTCAGAAACTTTTAAAATGAGAGGAATAATGAGATATCTTAATGATGCAATCATTCATTTTTTCAGCAATTAATAAGAAATTTTGTACTTATGATTAACATAATGATTGATGATTGCATTATTTGAATATCAAAGACATGAGCAAATTTCGTTTACCAAAATATAAGAACCATGTTGTAGGAAGGAAAATCTAGTCATGTTATAGATTATAATTACATACTTTATATAGTGCATAGTTATAAAATTAAAGTTGTTTTTTCTCTCTCCGCCACGTTACCCGACAATTTTATGAGGAGAAAAAAAAAATAACTTTTAATATTATAACTATGTACTACATATAATAAATAATTATATTTTTTTGTAGGAACACAATTCTTTCGAGATACATCACTGTTTGAAACCCCTTCTTTTGTTAAGGTTACCTTCATGTAGTTACAAATGTTTCTCATAAAGTTTCATGTCACAGGTCTCTTTCAGTCTTTCATCTGGTGGAAGAAGGACAGGGAAGCCTTGTCGCATCCTTGTGTGTGCACTAAATACTATGTTTCTTTTTTTCTTTTCGTTTTTGCATTTCTCAAAATTGAGGCTTTTATTTCATTGGATATCTAATGTTGATGCAAAAAAATCTTTTCTCCTTTAAAAAGTAGAATTACATTTTCCTTGTTTCTTTCTTTATGTGTTATCACTATTTGGGTCCATTTCTATAATTATTCGTTTATTTATTTTTTGAAAAACTCTAGATGAAGACGAACGATGAAGATGCCTACAAATTGTTAAGAAAATAATAACTACCCTTCTCCTAAATCATTAAAGAGAAAGGACAGTGTATGTCATTAGTACGCAGACAAAGTTTTGATAAATATTAACTCGTAGAAAATGAGAAAGAAAGAATAAGCAGATAAACAATACATTTATCGAGTTGAGCTAATTAGTCTTAATGCTTTTTCTGCACTGCAGATAAATTATACGATGTCATTTTCAAGGTGGAAATCATGATATTTTTATAATTTTAATTTATTTTAAGGTTATAATAGTCTTTATATTTAAATTTTTTAAGATTTCAATACCAAAATGACGTCGTTTTAAGAATAAATGCAGATAACTTATCTGCATTAACTATTTTTCCCTCCTTAATTAATTTGATTGATAACAGTTTCTGTATCAGCTTTCCACCACTCCTCTGAAAATATAGCCAATGTATAAGTTAAAAGATCACTTTATGACACTTAATATTAATATGTAAAGAGAAGAAATTTTAAGACAGAAATTGAAGGCTTTGAATATACACCCCAATATGGTGAGGATATTTTTGAAGGTTTGCGGGAAGGGGCAAGGGACGTGTCATTTAGGAAGAGTGAAAAACTGAAAATAGGACCGCGAAGATTTATTTCTTAGGCTGGAAATAAGTGTCTAAACTCTCTTAATTGGAGAACACCTTGCCTAAAAAGATTAATCAAATTTTGAACAGATTGCTTCCATTCAACATTCATGTGAATAAAATTATATAGTATTATTGCATTACACTATGGGATTAATGTTTCCTATGCAACAATAAATAAAGTTATCTCTTGTAATACAAAAAGAAGTCATTTTGGGGTTTGGGGG